CTCTGTCGTCCACAGCAGCATAACGACCTAGACCATTTCCTGATGGTCCGTTGCCCCCCCCTCCCCCTTCCCACCCACCAACCCTTCCACCCTAGCCCATCTGACTGCCCCCGTCGCTCTAAATCTCCTCTCTGGCTGCGGCGGCACATTGGCGGCGCCCAGATATTGGCAGCAACATGCGCGAGAGTTTTGATCGGCATTGTCTGTGTTCTCAAGGGAAGTGCCCCCACTCCTCCACCCCCTCCCTCCCCTCACCGGCTGATTGGGTCTGAGAACCTGTCTGCGACGAGTGACACTCCTGGCCGACAGGTGCGCAGGTAGGGGGGGGGGGGGGGGGGGGGGGGGGGGGGCAACCACGCGCGGACGCACACTCCAGCGTCTCCCACCCCACGACGGAGATACGCCCGCCAGCCTGCTGATGCGACCAGTTTTAAAGCACGTCCACTTTTCGCCGCGCGCGGCTTTCTTATCCGTATTATTACCGCAGTCTTTATATATAAGAGGGAAATGAGATTGGTATTTTCTTTTCTTGTTTCTGCATCGGGTTTCCCTTGTGTTGCACGGCGCGCACTTCTGCCGGTCACTCTCACTGACCCACCCATACTCTTTCATTATTTATGCGTCAGTTGTCTTTAGTAAACTCGATCGTGCCTTTGCCCCCCCCCCCCCCCGGGCTGTGCCGCTGCTCGGACCACCGCATCTGTCTCGTTCCGTCCGGATGTCTATGCCCCTCCCGGGTGAACTTTGCTTGCCGGCGAGCTAACCATGTCGGCTGTAATAAATGTTTTCCCTCGTGTCGGCGGGAAAGAGTTTTTTTTCGCCCCGTTTTCTCGCTTTGTCTTTTCCCCGCGGCCATTTGGATGCGCCGTGTGTTGTGTGGTGTGTGAGTGCGTAGATGCGGGCTAATGAAAGAAGCGAAAAAAATGAGAACTTGACAGCTGGTTGCCATTTCCTTCTCAGCGTTTGTTTATAGTTTTGAAAAAAACAAACAGAGCTCGAAAGAAAATGTTGACGAAAGTTTGTCACCATACCATACACCCGCAAATGCCCGTTCTTGCGACAATAGAGCTGATAATATGTAACCTAGTGTAGGCTTCCCCGGGTGCTGTAACGTCGAGTAGCGTGCTGTATTCACTATCGACATAAACAGTATCCGGCTTTCAGAATAAAATGTAGAATTATGTTACCACGCAACGGACCGAATGACCCCACATGCGGCGCATTAGTCTTCATTAATAATTGCCCGGGAAACTCTCCACACATCCCCAGCTGGGATGAACGGTTGGGGACCGATAGTGGCCTGAGTCGGGGGGAATGATAAAAAATCGATGCAAAACAATGTTTTATATATTGTATTAAAGGCTTCTTCTTTATTCCCAGGAACCGCTGCGTATCTACTCGTCGCGGCCACCATGTCCTTCCGGTGTGATTCTGGAGGCGCGAGTGGTGACACTTCTGTAGACTCTACTATCGGCGACAACATAAGTTCTACCGCCGATCATGTAACCGGACGTCTAAGTAATCAGACAGAAATGAAGATTGACTGCACAGTGTGCGACAAGAAATATTCGCCAAGTGGTTCCGTCCAAGTCCATCTCCACACCCACTCAGAAGAAAAGCCTTTTGCGTGTACTGTGTGCAACAAGAAATTCTCTTTGAAATCTAATTTGCGCGTACATCTCCGAACACATACTAGAGAAAAGCCTTTTGAGTGTACTGTGTGCCACAAGAAATTTTCTACAAGTAGTTACCTTCATGTCCACGTCCGAACTCACACAGGGGAAAAGCCTTTTGAGTGTACCGTGTGCAACAAGAAATTTTCTGCAAGTAGTTCTCTTCGAGTCCATCTTCGCACTCACACAGGAGAAAAGCCTTTTGAGTGTACTGTGTGCAACAAAACATTTTCTTGTAGTAGTCATTTACATGAACATCTCCGTTCTCACACAGGAGAAAAGAATTTTGAGTGTACCGTGTGCAACAAGGAATTTTCTTCAAGTAGTTCTCTTCGAGTCCATCTTCGCACTCACACAGGAGAGAAGCCTTTTGAGTGTACTGTGTGCAACAAAGCATTTTCTCGTAGTAGTCATTTACACGTACATCTCCGGACTCACACAGGAGAAAAGCCTTTTGAATGTACTGTGTGCAACAAGAAATATTCCCAAAGTGGTTCTCTTCAAGCGCACCTTCGAACGCACACAGAAGAAAAGCCTTTTGAGTGTACTGTGTGCAACAAAGCATTTTCTAGAAGTGATTCTCTTCAAGCGCACCTCCGGACTCACACAGGAGAAAAGCCTTTTGAGTGTACTGTGTGCAACAAAGCATTTTCTAGAAATGATTCTCTTCAAGCGCACCTCCGGACTCACACAGGAGAAAAGCCTTTTGAATGTACTGTGTGCAACAAAACATTTTCTTCTAGTAGTTATTTACACGTACATCTCCGTTCTCACACAGGAGAAAAGCCTTTTGGGTGTACTGTGTGCAACAAAGCATTTTCTTGTAGTAGTCATTTACACGTACATCTCCGTTCTCACACAGGAGAAAAGCCTTAGTGTACTGTGTGTAGTAAGAAATATTCCCAAAGTTGTTCTCTTCAAGAGAACCTCCGAACACACACAAGAGAAAAGACCGTTAAGTGAACTGTGAGCAGCAAGAAAAGTTTTGCGATGTGATCTCCAAGTCCATTTTGAACTATCTCACAGGAGAAAAGCCTTTTGAGTAAACTTTGTGCCTTTGCAAGTAGTAACTTGTATGTCTGCATCTACCCTCACCTATATTTAAACCTGAGAGAATCCTTTTTGCAAAAGTTGGAACTGTTGTAAACCTTTTTACTTTGAACTCCTTCCAAATATTTTATTTTGTCAGCCCGCAGCACAAAACGTACGAGATATTAAAACAGAATACTTTTTATTATGAAAGAAAGCAGTCTTTTTTTCTATGTAAATGGATCAACTGTATGTATCATCAGGAGCTGTCCCTCCATAAACAACTAAGACAGTTGAGTCGTGTAAGATCCACGATTGTAAATTGACGGCCCTGCTGTAAATCAATATTAGAAGCCGTGTCTAGCATACGGACAGTTCTGGAAGTACAGTAATATTTTAAGAGTGTTTAATGCTGAAAAAAATTGTTACAAACAGTACCGGGTGTTGCATAAAAGACACAGGTGCGGGCAGGTTTGCCTACCCGCTCTGCCTGTGCGCCATAGCCCCTTGGGTAGGCAAACCCCTCCCGCACATGTGTCTTTTATGCAACACCCGGTACTGTTTTGTAACACTCTTTTCCAGCATTGCTTATTTGACTTTTAAATTATGTAGCCCTATATAAGCAAAGCGTTATCAGTGTGTGAGTGTGGGTGGTTTGCAAAATGAAATATGCGTTTAGTTCTGATATGAAAAGATATCTTGTTTGCACGTTTTTAGAAATTAATATTCTATACGACAAGGAATTTTTCATATGTGATTATTTGCATGATCAACATGAAAACCCTTTTTCGTAAACAGTTTGCTTCAAGAAATTTCGTATGAGATTTTTCTTCTTTCCACTCCCAGAAAAATCCTCTCTTTATTCAAGTATATTTGCACTCGAGCATGCACAAGAGCAATTTTTCTCTTGAAACTAGGCAAAAATACCATTAGAATGAGATCAGTCCTCTTCGAATAAGACAATTGTGTACAAGATTATTTACAAGTATATTTTTCTAGTTTGAATGACATTTTTGCATTAGTCTGCTGCATTCGTCGTTTTCATGTAATCTGAAATCTGTGTTTATCTCGAATACCCCTAAAACAACTTCAGTGTCAGCGCACTTTATGTATAGTGTTAAGGTAATGATCGTTTTCCGTCAGTCAAAAATAAACTTTTACCTATAATTGCACAGTTTTCTTCATTCCTCCTCGAAACACACATGTTACTTATGATGCAGGTCGGGAACAAATATCGGTAAAAGCCCAACTCCATATTTCGGCTGACGTTCGTTCCCTAGTGGATTAAACGACCGCTGCGCCACTAGGCAGCACTCGTGGGGCGGTGAGGGATGGTAAGATTTGCGGGGCCTTACCAGCTGCGGGCACGACAGGAAAAGGGGGGGGGGCAAGAAAGGGATATTGACGTGCAATATATGGTATCGGGACTTCATAATTCACATGCTTCATCCAGCGCGATCGAATTTTAAAATTGGATGTTCAATGTTCAGAAGCGCACGGAAGTAAGGAACGATAAAAATAGTTTGTGGCATAAACTAACTGTGCCCTTTAGAAGAAAGAGGTATATAGGGCGCTGGCCCCACATTCCGAACACGGCGACGACACGCGTTTCAGAATACTAACTCTGCCTAGATTGGTTGCCTTTGCCGCTGAAAGCAGCGTCGCCCAGGGCGCCTTGCTCTACTACACGAACTCCCCGCCTCCCACTCTGCGGGCCGAGCCCAGGCCCTCTCTGATTGCTGGAGTTCCTGTAAAAGCACGGACGGACCACCGTGAACGAACACTTGCCGGGAGGTGTTGGCTCTTGTGAGGAAGGCGGGGGGG